CAAAGGTACATATTCTTTAAAATCATGATTTTAAAAGTTCAAATGTTTTAAAGGGAACGTTTTTAATATATGGTATGATGTTTCAAGGTATTTACTGATAAATTTAATCGAGCTTTCTTTGATACAATTGAGTTGAAATTTTCAAACTGACTATTTTAAGATTTGTATTTTCCTATGTACTTTGCACATTTTCCGTAATCATCTTAGTTTTGTCGAAATGTAGCACCAAAAACTGACAATGCTGCATAAAAGGAATCATGCCAAAAGAAAGAAGATTATAGAATATTGTTATTTTTTTAAATATTAAATAGTAACTATTGAAAAGAACATGCTTTTACATCAACGGTCTAAAACTTTGAAATTTTGCGGTATTAAAGGAACTTTCATGATGCAAGAATTCAGAAAGTAACACTAAAAAAGATTTTTAACATGGAAAGCAGTCGAACAGATGAGATAGACTGCTATTATCTTGCGCTTTAGAGTCATGTTAATGCACAGAAAAGCCAGATGTAACATAAGCTACAATGTTTCTGTGTATAGACAAGGCAAGGGACTGCTTTTACAAGAACGGATACAAAGACGACTGCATTTGACGAGAAATCATCAAAAACCATTTGGGAACTGACATAATCTTTCAGCCAAAGGCATATCAAAATCCTCCCAATTATTATGTGTGAATTATATTTTGAGTCGATGAAACTAAATCAAAATCAAGTTATAAACCACTTTTAGAATACGAGTGTTGTCTCATTATACAATTTTGCATTATAACAATGTGACATTGATTAATGCGAAAAACCATATGAGTTTAAAAAGCGCACGGAGCTGTATACTATCCAATAAAATGTCTTAGACTAATAAATCACAAATAGAAATAAAGTTTACCTGAATTTTACGGTTCCTCACTTACCTCAAGATCAAGACTTTTTTCCTTGACTCAGTTGGTTCAGCTCTGTCCCAGCTTAAAAAAATTACACTATACAAAAAAACAACATACTTCATCCATTCATCAACCATTCATCGTACAGGGCAAATTTACACAAAAATCCTTTTTGGTTTTAACTCTGTTATAAATAGGATTTTTTAATTTCTCGGCATTCTTCTGGTATATTATATTTGGAACAATGATCGGTCATCTTTACCTTAGAGACCATGCTATCTATATAAAAGCTGAATAGACATTAATGCAACTGTATGCATCTTGATTTGGAAAACCATACCTTTAATATTCTTGAATAGCCATTTAAAAGCTTTTTTATTTAAAAATATTTTTAGGCATAAAACTGCAATCAAGAGGCAGTCTCCAAACAATTCACATAACAAAATTAAAGAGAAATACACTTCTAGATTTTGATGAAACTTATGGAGATGAGGAACAGTATTCACGATCAAAAGTCCATAAAACAATACAAAATAGAAGAAGAGCAAACACGGACCTCAAGTAAGAAGAGATATATCTTTACTGTTAAAGAGATATTTCACATTATTATTTTATTCAAATTGGATTTAATGACTTTTCCCTTTACCCGAATGAAGGATATAGAGATAACGAACAGTATTCAATATAAAAGTCCATAAAACAATACAAAATAGGAGCATGACCTGCAAAACATCAGAGATGGGATAAGGTGCCATGGAGGAGTGAGCATCCCCTGCCGACCGGTCACACCCGCCATGTGCTCCTTGTCATGATCGGAAAAAACGGGAAAATCCGTCGTCAATTCAGTTCATAAATAATGGACTAACAATTAGTATGAAAAACATCAGTCAGCATTTGACTCAATGATTAATTGTACTTGCTGACAAGGTCATTGTATCGACCATAGAACTTAAGAAATGATGACGTTAAACGGGACTACTGATATTTTTATTTCAGCAACTTATCTGTCAATGATTTATACCGTTTTTAGAAATTGTTTATACATAGAGCATGCTCTTGTGTATCGAATCAACTGAGATATATAAACTCCGAATGCAGGTGATGACGGTATATTGCTGCATAAGTAAGAGGAGTTGACGATCGAAAAGTTAAAGTAATCAAAAGATATTTCTTTTCTATGGAAGAAAAAAACATCAGTATCATTTAATTCATCTTATCTTATTTTCCTTTCATATTTAGATATTTTACGAAAAAAAGACGTCAATGATAACCCAACAACAAAACTGCATGAAAAATAAGATGACTTTTCAAACATCAGCTTTCTTAACTGTGGCAAGTTTCCGACATTTAAGTTCATGAAACAAGGATGTCAACAGTCTCGCTTAAGGTCAACACTTTGCACATTTTCTGGTTCATACGAAGACTTTTTCAACAAATCCAACCTATCACTACGTCATATATATGTTGCTTAACTTTTTTCACACAATTTGTGAGGCCATATACACGATCATGACAAGGATCAGACGGCGGATGTGAACGTTCGACAGGGTATGCGTACTCCTCTATGGCACCCGATCCCTTCTCTGATGTTTTAGAGGCCCGGTGATAACTGTTTGGTATCTTGATATTTCATTGGAGAAGAAAACTTAATGGTACATCATTTAAAAATATCAATTTTTCAAGTTCTCTTTTATTGATGAAGCATAAAGATCATCGTTGGTGCATAAAGATTAATTCTATAACATTTGATTTTGGAATGAAAAATATTAAGCAAACAATAAACCATTTTCATTCAAACACAAAAATTTCTTATTCTAACAGATTTAAACTTAAAATATAAGTTGTTGTTTTTTTCTTTTGTCTTTTTTTTTCTATGTTCTTATCTAAATTTTACATTGATTGATTAAAATGAGTTAGCAATCATTGATTTTGATAATTTCTACTATGTTTTTTTTCAGAGAAAGATCTACACCTGTAATTTTATGGGTTTTTTTTAAAGATCCCTTCAGGAATTTTAAATCATTTTATGACGCCAATATTTACCAGTAGAAAGCTGCAGAATTAAACATGCATTCGGAACTCGGAGTCTTTGAGCTGAGAGGGATAATTTTTTTGTCATCACGTTCAACTGCAACACAGTCTAATTCGAAGAACCGGTTTTCATGTCTTTCAATGGTATTCGAACCAACGGTGTATGGATCAAATCATTGTACTGCGACTCGACTCTAGAGAAAACGCTCTAACCTCTGCGTCAATAACATTATATTATAGTTCCTTAGTAACATTTAAAGAAGAAACTGAAACTATTTATCTTTGTCTAATTTATTAACAGAAACAGGAAAGCAATCATTTAAGGCCATGCATCATAATAAAACTAAGATACAATAAGTTATTTTAGTGATTATTTATTTTCTTAACTAATTGTCTTTAAAAGTTGTCGCACCTTCAGCTTTTTAATGTTTATACAAAATATATGAAAATACTGTTTGACATCTACATTCTGAGCTCATGGTGCAATAATTATGATTGTAAAAAGCCGAATAAAATGTTTCGTTTAATAGCACATTAACGAGTAGAACATTTTTTTCATGTAAAAGAAAAGTTCATAAGCAGTTGGTTAATAATTGTACTAAAAGTGACAAATAGTTCATCGTCCTTAAGGAGATGGGTGAACATGGCTTGAAGAATGACCATAGTTTCAGCTTTAAAAATCATTTTAGGACAATTCAGAAAATTATAATAAACAAACATTTCTATGGAAACTTTTTTAAAGAAAAATTACTGTTATTGAAAATAGAGTGTGCTATTCGTTGTTTCGAACCCTTGCAATGAAAATTCCGAGTACCATTTTCCTTTGAGACTATGATAATTGTTTTTTAAATGGCCCTTAACTTAATGGACTTCAAGAATTCATCAGAATGATGAAAAGATTGTGTCATAAAATGTTAATTATCTTTTTTCTCCATGTTTCTGTAACCAAAAAACTGTATGTTTATGCACATTTATAGAAGAAACTTTTCAAACATGGAGCAAAAACCGAAGCATTTGAAAAAAATTGTGTTTTTACTATGGGAAAATGATCCTTTTTGCTCTCTTTGCATCAATTGATGTGTGTGATATTTCATTGACCAATAATTTCGATTTTTTTTTTATATTTTTGCTAAATGTGAAATTTTACATTAAGTATTCTTTAATGTTAGAAGAAATATCAAAGAAAATTCCTTTTAAATAATTAAAATTCATTTTTTTCACCTTCATATTTTCCGCACTTAAGGCATTCTGCATGCCTTATTTCCACAGCTCCTTTCAACTTTGAAGCGGTGTATACATTTTTTCCCATTGAAATAAAGCTTTAAAATATTATTAGATTTTATAATATTTATAGATAAACTATCCAATTATTTGAATTATACAATATTTAAAAAAGATTTCTTTAACTGTAATTGTTATATCCGTAATAACAACTTTATTCTTGATATGCATGTGTATTACAACACATCCCCGAATTATCAAAACATTTCATTGATGAATACAAATTATATATTAAATGAAACTGCAGTAAATGAATTGCAGTAAATGATGTGTTGCTATACTCTCATTAAATTCAATTCACAAATCTTGCTTCGAGCCTTTTTTTGATGAATCAAAATTTTCAAACTAAAATAAACTTTTTAAAAATCAAAATTTTTAGAGAGATACTGTTTATTTTTGAAGAAGGATAGTTTTAGAAGGATTAACTAAGGCATCTGACATCTAATCCGAAAGGTGTTTGGATGTATTTTCCGCTTTTGAGATTAAATTTTTCCCAAATCCAAAGTTATTATAATAAAATGTTTAAAGATTTTACTTTTGTGTCTTATACATGTAATATATTGATTACAATTTTCCTCTTTCAAGTTTGATTGTATTTACTTTTAAAGAAAATAGTGTAGGTTTCGTATTATTCACTTGAATAACACAACAATCACCAAAATATAATAAAACTCTTCCAAAAAAAAAGAATTTTATATCTTACTTGTTTGCAACTTTATCTGGCTTTCTTTGTTTTTACTTGCTTTAATGTTTTTTGTTTTGAAAAGAGTTTTTCGGCCGATAATAAAGAAGAAATAAACATATGATAGAATTTTTTAACATATATATTTTATTTTAACTTAACTAGATTATTTGATACACCTTTACGTCTTATCATTTATATCTATGATCAACCAAAGGCTGTAGGTAATTTAATATCCTAGAGAAGTCGTGCGGCCTCCTGGTGACTGCTATGTAGGGTCGAATCATGTGACTCCGAACCCGATCTCGATGCCTGGGTCTTCCCCGCAGTCTCGTGATGCTTGGCCGTGTAGGCCTGACAGGCACCGTGGCTGGAGTATATGATGTTGTAGATCTATGTGGTGGTCTCTCCATGACAACTACACGCAGGTGCCCGTGGGTGATCAGGAACGTGTCTCTCTACAAATTAACGGATCATTAGGTTTCAACCATTGCTGTTTTTGTTAAAGCTTTTATTATTCTGTCAGTTGATGATGGTTTAAAATCTCTTGTATGGAATCCCTTACCTATCATTTTGTTTTGGCATTAGTATGAAAACTCTTGAATCTTTTCATCTAGAAAAGTATTATCTTAATTCCACTGAAATAAGTGTCTAAGCTCCCACCTAATATTTGTATTGAAAGTTGCAATTTGACTACCCTTAACCCAGAAAAAAATAACATATCACTTTCATTTCAAGGTTTAAGCTCATGATGTTTCTTAGTATTCATGTGACATTAAAGAATGATAGCAAATTTCACAACTGATGTTAGGTATATTCACCTTTCAGTGTATAAGCTAACACACACAATCATGTTGTCAGCATTGATCCTATTTCAACACTTGTTTTCCTCTCCAGGAAATCAGTTTATAGCGCTACATTTTATATAATATAACTACGTAGGATACCTAAAATATACTCACATAAACTGAACCATCCTCACAAAAGTCGGATAAAGTCTCTAAAGAACACCCAAACTGTGAGTGGCAGCACGTTTCTACTATGCCGTCGTTAGTTTGGCGTTTACGAATTAAATAATTCTGCAATGTTTTCCCACGAAGACCTGCTGAGGAAATGATACGATTACATTAATATCATCTAAGTACACCTTGTTTTATCGTACAAAGTATTTGTTTTTGCAAGTTTCGATAAATTAATATAGTATGTTATATTGGCATATTGAGTTTAAAGAGATATTTTTCTGAAACACAATAAAATTAGCAGTTAAGTAATCGAAATTAAACATAAAAATATCTCTGAATCCAAAAAGATAGGTAAATTTACCCACAGTATTTCTTTAAAGTTAAACATTAACGTTAATCATGTTATATAGGGAAAATTGTCAAATCTCAGATATATATTTAGAAAAAGCAAAATAGGAATTTCAGCTATGCATTTTCTAATTGCAAATTGATCAACAAATATATTCTAGGTTAAAAAACAATAGGTATCCAGGTATCCAGACATTCAGAGAAATTGTCATGATTTTTATACTTATTTTGTATTCTATATGCTCTATTTCCATCATTTATTATATAATACATAGGAAGTCAATTCTCTAAATCTATATTAATTTTTTCTCTTTAAAAGTGTACAAATGTCGACTTTTTATAAGACCTTTTCTAAGACTTCCAAAAACCTTGAATCATATAAAGATTAATAAAATGAATGTGGTTGCTTGAAAAAAATTCATTTTCAAGCTTCATATTGATTCATTATTAATTTAAAAATATTAATTTTTGGAGTATTCCTTCCTGGCTGAGGATCGGATATCCTTAAAAGATATTTTAAATGTTTCATAGAAAAGAGTAAAAAGAGATACTTTAAAATAGAGTCTTTTATAAATAAAATAAAGATAACTGATAATTTACGGTTAATTCTAATTACAGGATTCTGCCCATACTGTATACAGGGTTATTTTCGCCTCGTGATATTTTCGTCCTTTCACACTTGCAAACAATTTTGTCCCGTTTTTTCCAGTTACAGTTTTGTTAAAGAAATTATACTGTTTATTATGTTACTATTCGCCCCTTTTTAAGTTCGCCCAAATGACGGAAAGGCACACCGAAAAGTATACAGTATTTGTCATTTCATTTTTTTTTATATATTCCTTTGATTTTTTTTATTCATTATATATCTGTTATTTTATTTGAATAAATACTGAATATCCTACAATATGCATATAAATTTGCTAAAAATAAATATTTTTTTATTGCAAAGAACTTTTTTACAATTTTTTTACTCGTTCACTTAACAATGAAACATAGAGATAATGAACGGTGTTATTCCATAAAACAATATTAGGAGCAGAGCAAAAACAGACCTTTATCAGAGGTGGAATTATACGATATAGTCAATTGCCCCTTGACATGATCGGGAAATAACGGGAAAATCCGTCGTCAATTCAGTGCATAAATAATGGACTAATTTAGTATGAAAAACATCAGTCAGCATTTGACTCAATGATAAATTGTATTTGCTGATAAGGTCATTGTATCTCTTGCGTATCGAATCAACTGAGATATGTAAACTCCGTATGCAGGTATATTGCTGTATAAGTAAGGAAAGTTGGCGATAGAAAAGTTAAAGTCATCACATTTATCATAGAACTTGGTTGTTAGAATACCATTTACGTCTTTTTCAAGTAAAAATAATCAAGATAAATTCAAGTCTATTTTTTATATATCACAGACAACCACATCGCCAATAGAAAAGTAATTCAGTAATTTTTTACATCTTGTGATTGGTCATCAGAAAAATAACTTATGAAATCCTTCAGAGTACACACGAGTTCTCTGAACTTGATATAAAGGGATGCTACGGTTCCTCATTAAAAATATTTATTTAGTCTTCAGAGACTAAATTTTGGAACAATGAATTCCGATGGACACTAATTGTGCTTCTCTATAAACTAACTGTGCTTCTCTGTAAGCAAATTTTATTTTTATATTCATATAAAGCAGACCTTATTCAAAACATACATTTGCATGAGCAGAGAAAAACACTTTTTGTGGACTTCAGTTCGAACATTAGTTATGTTCAATATCTATTTATAATGGATGTTTCACTGACTATAGACAATAAAGGCCATCTAGCAAATAAAACGTATTACAGACGAGATATTCTTCAACTTTTCCATCTACAACTTTCTTCATTTATGTAGCAATTTTCCATATATATATATATATATATATATACGATCATTTTTTAAAATGAGAGATATATATATATATATATATATATATATATATATATATATATATATATATTGGCTGACTTGTTTGATTACAAATTGTAAGACCTTTGGTTTTATACTGAATTTTACTTTGGAAAGTTCCATCTACCTGATCAATACAAGGGAATCACAGCGAGTGTGACCAGTCAACTGGGGATGCTTGCTTCCCCCTAGGCACCTCATCCTATCTCTGGAATTTCCAGGAGTCTAAGTTTTATGCCCTCATTACAAATTTGCATTGTTATAATTTTCTAAGATGTATCACTTGTTCGTTATCTTCATTTTTTCCCCACTTTGATTAACTTGACTACCCAAGTTAAATCGATTCACACCAAAGTCACATAACTGAGAACATGAGTCTCAATATTGGCAGTCTTTTAATATGTTGTAAAATTTGCAATAAAATTTTTATATATATATATATATATATATATATATATATATATATATATATATATATATATATATATATATATATATATATATATATATATATATATATATATATGCTCATAGTATATTTTTATATAAAAAAGATATATATCATAAAAAATGACAGCAAATTTTAACAGAACAAAATGAAATGAATCTCGTTCATCGTTCATTGCGTTTAAGAACGCTTCCTCGAGGCCATTGCGAAGTGTCTTCTTTGTCTAAGCTTGATAATATTAGCTTTGTACAAATAACATCGACAGACGCTATGTGTTCCCGAAAGGCTAGGGACTTATTTCAATAAAAAGAAATTATATTAAGTTTATGACATAGTTTATATTTTTGAATTTCTTAGAATTTGATAAACTATATGTATTTATACCCTTATACTGAAGGCTAGGGATAAAAGTAGAAAAAGATAGAAAACTTTGCATAAACAAATAACTACAGCAAAAAATTCATTTGAATCATCTACTTCTCCTCTACTCTCTCCCAGGGAATGAAGGAAAATATATGTGTTATTTCAAATACCTAGCTAGCTTCCTTATCTGCGACGAGAGATTTCACTTATTCTCGACAAAGCAATTAAGATATATTGCTACTTAGCAAAAATACGAGAGAGAGAGAGAGAGAGAGAGTAATTTTCTATTAAAGAATATTGAGAAGTAAATTTTAAATGCGTCTTTTTTAAATGGATTCTGCTACATATAAATACAAATAAGGTTTGATGATAGTTATTACAGATTCCAGTCTTAGAGAATGGAATTCCGACATATTGTTAGAAAATTTTCACAGATTTTGTCAATTAGAAACTTAAGCAACGTTCAATATCAACCGTTTGGTGTACAGTGTTTTTTTTCAAAAGGATATCGACTATGAAGTAGAATACTTGGACTTGAATATATCGTTTGGAATAGTTGTATTAAGTGTTGAAAAGTTGTGCATCTTGATATCATTGATTTTTGGTTAACGTTTGTGATTTTGAATTATCTTAGAGTTGCATCTGCTTTACACTGCTTCTCAAACGTGTTGTACAGTGAAGATTTAGGAAAAAACTGATAGTCAATAATTGGATTCTTTCAATTGTATAACAGTTGAGATAGATTACACAATCAGTATGCACTTGTCCTCGATGACAAAGCAGAAACAAAATTGTCTTTTTAGGTCACCTGAGTAACTCAGGTGACCTATTGCTATCCGTTTTCGTCCGTCGTCGTCCGTCGTCGTGTGTCGTGTGTTAACATTTGAACATTTTCAGCTTCTTCTCTGAAACCACTGAACCAATTTCAACCAAATTTGGTATACAGCATCTATGGGTAAGTTTGAAGAAAAATTGTGAATTTATGATGTGTTTCTAAAATTATTGCAATCTTTAAAAATATTCTTTTTTACTCCTGGACATCAAGCAGGCAAACTGTATGCATGAATATAATGAGCATTGCGTCCTAAACCAAAATTGTGAAATTCATGGCTCCAGGGTCAGGGGTTCTAGTGCTAGGGCGGGGCTATATAGATTATATAGTGAAAATGTATTATTTCTTTGAAAATCTTCTTCTCTGCTCCTGGGTATTAAATAAACTAATTAAGTACATAGTTATGATGAGCAAGAGTGCCTCCTATAAAATTGTGAATTTTATGGCCCCAGGGTCAGGGGTTCTGGTGTTTGGGCGGGGCTCTATTGATTATATAGAGAAAATGCATTTATTCTTTGAAAATCTTCTTCTCTGCTTCTGGGTATTAAATAAACTAACTAAGCACATAGTTATGATGAGCAAGAGTGCCTTATCCAAAATTGTGAATTTTATGGCCCCAGGGTCAGGGTTCTGGTGTTAGGGCGGGGCTCCATTGATTATGTAGTAAAAATGCATTATTCTTTGAAAATCTTCTTCTCTACCTCTGAGTATTAAATAAACTAACTAAGCACATAGTTATGATAAGCAAGAGTGCTTTTTCCAAAATTGTGAATTTCATGGCCCCAGGGTCAGGAGTTCTGGTGTTAGGGCGGGGTTATTTAATATAGTGAAAATGCATTTATTCTTTGAAAATCTTTTTCTTGCTTTTTAAATAAATTTACATAATTAGATGAGCAAGACTATAAAATTGTGAATTTTATGGCCCCAGGGTCAGGGTTCTGGTGTTGAATTTATCATATAATGAAAATGCTTTATTTCTTTTTAAATTTTCTTCTCTGCTCCTTGGTATTAAATAAACTAACTATGCACATCATTATGATGAGCAAGAGTGCCTCTTCTAAAATTGTGAATTTTGTGGCCCCAGGGTCAGGGGTTCTGGTGTTAGGGCATGATTATATAGTGAAAATGATTTTGAAAATCTTCTTTTTCTTCTGGGTATTAAATAAACTAAGTAAATAGTTATAATGAGCAAGAGTGCCTCTTCCAAAATTGTGAATTTTATGGCCCCAGGGTTAGGGGTTCTGGTGTTAGGGTGGGGCTCTATTGATTATATAGTAAAAATACATTAATTCTTTGAAAATATTTTCCTTTGCTTCTGTGTTTTATGCCAATGATCCAAGTATATACATTTATGATGAAAAGAGGTGCATCTAGCAAAGTGGTTTTTTTTATGCCCCCTGGGTCAGAAGGGGGGGTTACACTGTTATTAATGTTTTAATCAACCATTTTATGATAAAATTTTCAACTGATCCTTTGGGGTGATCAATGGGTATAAGGTGGAAGTGCATTTTTTCTTTTACTCTGATTTTCCTTTGCATAACAGTAAATAGAGTAAGCATTACGTTAATAATTATGATAAGCAATGGTGCCTCTTTCAAAATTGTATTGTGAATTTCCTCGAACCAAATTTAATTGTTTGAAAGTTGTTACACAAACTCAGTGAACAAAATTGTCTATTTTGTTTGTAAGGCTCATTATTTGGATTCTATTTTATAGGGCTTAGGATAAAATTCTGCTATTGGTAATCCAACTTTATTCGTAGAACCCTTTTTAAGGAGAAAATTCTTTAAAACCATATTTCAGTTTTAAATATTTTTATAAAATTCCAAACAATCAAAATGAATTTGATTTTTCATACCCCACTTGGTTCCAAAATCCCTATAAAAAACAAATAGTGGGTTAAATTAATGTTCTAAAAAGCCCTTTTTACTCTTCACCGAAATCTTAACAGCATTGAATGAGAAGCTCCAGGAGTATTGTACACAATATATGTTCGAGATGTATATATTTGTAAATTAGATGTGGATATTTAAAAGAAACGTTATGGGAAGTTTACAAAAATCAATATCACGTACGACTTTTCAACATTTTATACAACCAGACGTCCAAGCTTTAAGACATCATAAACAGTTGCTTATTCAATAAAAATGAAATTCGAAATACTCTTACTTTGTCATTGGTCATTGCAAAATTATTTTGTTAAAACCATTCTGATTGTACAACATGTATTCTGTGGTTAATATTAAAAGATGCTCCAGTTTCTGATTGAAAATATCTATGTGGTTTTCTTTTTAGATCAGGTCTTCCAACAGCCTGTTGGAATATGGAATTCCATGACCACCAATTGTGGCCCGTTATAGGTAAATATATTTTTGTATTTAAATGAAGAAGAATTTATTCAAGAACTTCTACATGAGAAGAAGAAAAACATTTACTGTTCATAGTTGCCTTCAACTTGACATTTCAATTAATTGACAACGAATAATTCAATAACAAAAGTTACTTTCCTTTATATGTCACTGATATATCCAGTGTAATCAATCGACACCGTTTGTATCTATTTCATATTTGGATTTTTTTTCCTATACAGGACTCAGTGGCGAGAATAATAACGTAATACTTTTTAATTGTCAAACTAATAGCATACTTATCACCCGCAATAATTTCAATTTTTTTTTATAGTAGATATAGGTCAGCGCAGTAATTACAAACAACATAGATAAATAAGTTACTGCAATAAAATATAAACAAAGGTTTAAAGTAATTAATCCACAAGAACACGGGTCGATACCATGACCTTGTCTACAAACATTTTTATAGTTTAACCATTAAATACACTCTGCATTGTTATCATCTAACGAATGCGTTTAGGCAGGGATGTATATCCTTAGATCTTTGATGTTTTCTCGTAGAATTTTTTGAATGAACTTTGAACCTGAAATCTGTTCATTGTCTTCATATTTCATATGGTTTTATTTATAAGTTTACAAAGGCAGAATACGTATGGTAATTCAAATTCAATTTCATAGGAATATAAAAAGTATTTGACTTATCCTACCCCTTAAAATGGGTATTAATGTGTCATGTAAAATAATATATTTGATAGCTCTGACTCGATTTGTTTATATTGTTTTTATGTATTTTGTTTCATTACTATCCTTGGCCTATTTTGTTTTGATGTGCCATCTTTTTGCTTACTTTTTCATGTGATGTTTTGATTGTCTTGTCTAACAGATACTTTTTTCTAGTCAGTTTTGGGGGATCAGACATTATCATATTTTACGTAACTGCTAATCAAATGATGATCCCCTTCAACTTTTCACATTTATCGTCATTTTAAAAAATGACATTATTCATCTGTATGAAAGTGTTTTATTTGACTTATAAAAAATTATCAAAAACAAGCCGCGGTGACCTTGCCTATAAGCATAAGAATACATAAAAAGTATTTGACATACGATTTTGGGGAATTTTCTACTTGAAAGGAAATCACGAGCTAAATAGGAAGATTTGAAGCAAGGTACATGCTATTGACAAAATACGTTATCAAAACAATAATTTAAATTAAAGCACAGATCCTAGGTTTCATTTATGATTTGATAAATAACTTCAAAACATTTGTGAGTCATCTTTAACAGTTCATTAAGATAACCCAGTGAATACAAATTCATTCAATTGTGATAAGTAACATTAAGAGATGAAAATTTCTTCAAAAATTCTTTTTTTTTAATCTCGCAAGAAATGTTTTAATAAAATATTCAATAATGAAATTCTTTTAGAGTCTCAAATTTCGTGAACATTTCATTGTAATTTGAATATTATATCAAATATGCTCTCTCCTTATAACCAATGTCTACCTTTTGTTACCTGTATCTCTTTTCTTCCGTGTACTGGCATATCTAGACCCACAGAGACTCTGAAGACCCAGCGGAAGGTCCTGTCCACAGAGGCGGTAAAACTCTCCTGTCACAGAGTCAAGGTCATTCGCGATCACTGCATTACTCAACATCTGAGTCAAAGTTAAACAAATCAATCCAAATAGGAAGTTGAACAATTCGTTACATTTGAGCTGAAAAGAAATAATTAAATTTTTTCAAGAAGCTACTCTAGCCAAGCAGAGAAAAAATAGCATATATATGTGCATGTAAACAGTGGAACAAATCAAATTCGCTGATAGAAAACTTCAGTATTAGATGTATTTTTGATAAGGAGGAATCTTACTTGAGTGAATGATTAAAATAACATGCTTGAAAAAGAGTTAATTAATGTGTGATAAAAGATTTATTTACAAAACATTTTAAATATCTTTAGTAGTTTCTCATATTTGAATTTGAAATCATTTAAAAAGTCGATCTAGATAAAGATACAACCTGCACTGTAAGTTATTAGATATCACAGAGACCAAAAAAAAATTATAAAATGAAAATGGAGACATATCAATCTGTTTTAAAATCTCGGTAACTAATTACTGATGAACTTGGTTTGCAATTGAAATTGCAATTACAGTATACATGTAGTCTCAAAGTAATTTCTTACAATACGTTTACCATTTATGACGTCAAGTGGTGTGAAAATGCATCGATTGTTTAATTTGTGATCATGAGACGTACTACGTCTTGAAGCAACAGATACATATGACTTAAAATAATAAATAATATTCTTAGGTATAAAACTACATGAATAATATAATCTGATGAGAAACTCCCTATATTACATAACTGATTATGATAATCTGTGATTCCTCGCACGACGCCAGATACATGTGTGACGTTAAAATGAACTTTTAAAAAAACGTTACTAAAAACCGTAATCAGGTGGCCTTTCAGAAATAATCTTTTTCTCAGAAATAATCTTTTTTTCGGTTACAAGAACAAATCCTTTGAAGCCCAAAGGGCTTTCTTATATATTGTATAACGTTCCAACAATTTTTTTTTTCATATATCAGTTGAAAATTGGAAGATTAGTCATCAGTAGTGATAAACCAAATAAAGTGAAGAAATTAACACTCTATGGTACGCCATTATGCACGGTTCCTATAGTTGGTTTTTTTCTTTTAGGGTCCCTCTGGAGTAATCTCATATTGAGACGCAGCATTTTCTTGGGAGAGCTGCAAATTACGACATACTTGGCACTCACGACTTTTCTAGCCAAGGGAATTGGTCAACTCTGCTCCCCATTTTTATTAGAAGCGGAGTGGGCCGAAAACTCTTGCCTAGCGAAGATGGGTATTCGGGGCCATTGAGCAAAATATGATCTTTTTCGTGTCAACGCCTACTAAACACGACAACTCGGTTTATACAGTTTCATCTGAAGGACCGGTCCTCTCGTCCCACAGAGGAATTAAAACTAAATTAAGCTCATGATCTTTCACGATGGTAAACAACAAATCCTTCAGAATTCTTCAATACAAGAAAATGATTTCTTTGATTGTCAGCTGCAATTTTATCTTTATAATTGAACGTTTTTTATGATTTATTATTAGGCAAATCAAAAATTAAAATATATTTGAACTGACTTGTTCATCAGGAATAAAAATGGGAGTTTCAAGGTTTCAGGCAAAGGAAAGGTATCAATATTACCTACAGTCTCTATAAAAAGGATTTTCCATATCCTTCTGATATAAATATAAATATCAGGATTAACTTCGACATGATTCCTAAAAGAAACCCATGTAATTGCGTCGTTTAATGTTGTTATAACGGTTAAGTATTGTTAATTGTAAGTTAAAATCAATTATGACGTCATAATATTTAGTATCATTTGCAAGTTCTTGGCCACATGCAATAGCTATGATGTCAATAAAAGTTATTTAAAACAATTAGTTTTTTTGTACTATACTGAAATATTTTATACGAGAGCTTCGAATGAATATGTTTGAACTGGCAAACTTTCTTTTATTTAAGTTCAAATAGATCTTGTAATCCAAATGTTATTTTACTCATTAATACTCGTATATGATCCCTTTGATAATGGTTATCTATCACATACGAAACAATACGGTAGATGAAATATACTAAATGACCAAGGGCACAGTAAGATGAAGCATTCCCTCGCTTCTAAGAGAATATCTATATATAAATCAAATTTGCATTCGACATCGACGCCGATTCAATAAAAGCCACTTCCGTTTCGCAAAGTACATAACCTACAAACACACACACATGGTTGTGTTCTTATGACCCCAAATCCTTTGCGAGGGAATAATTAAGGCCCCTTTAAGCTACACTGTCCAAATACTGACTTAGTGATTACATATTCAGCGTAAATATCTAAAGCATATTATGGTTTATAATTATTGAAATGTTTATTATTAAAACCTTTATTATTTTTCCCATAAAAGTCAAAATGTTTTATTATTAAAACCATTATTATTTTCCCATAAAAGTCAAACACCTTCGAACAAGAAGAAAGGAATTATAACTACTTTATAGAAATCAACTAATCTTACATATTATGGTTTATAATTATTGAAATGTTTGTTTTATTATTATTTTATATATTTTTGTTCCCCAAGAAGAAAGGAATTTTCTACTTGATAAAAAAAACGAGAACACATGAATATAAAATTTTTGCATATAAAATTAAAATTAAGATAAAAAAATAAATCGAGTTTAAAATAAGTCAACATTGCTTTTCAAACCTAAATGGTACTTACTGTATAGACCCTACTCTCCATCCCATAACCTGCTGCCCCGACCCTTTGTCAAGTTCCGCACAAACACGAGCAGGTAGCTATATCCTTATATATATATAAACATATTCACCGAAGATATTTTCAAATACCCCTCCTACTTAGAATGGTTATATTCTTAGCCAATTTTATTGTTTTCCAAGCAAGTTTGCTTTTTTACAGATTTTTTTTATCATTAAAACCGTTTGGTGGCAACTTGTTATAAAGGACAGATTTCATCGTATCATCTAAGAAAAGAAGGTTGGGTATGGTTTGTGGGTATGAAGATTTCTATCAATTACCAAGACGTCTTCCTTTTCATTCATAAAATGAGAACACCAGAAAATATATCAAATGACTGACGTGTTCAAGTTGGAGTTAATATTCCCATAAGATATTAGATTTACAATATAGAAGCTTACTATTCTCTAGTCATGTCATTAAAATGTTTAACCTTTAATATTGTCACGGAGTATAATGGTTTTTCTTTTGAAACAATTGGCTTGTTGGTAGAAAGGAATGTCTGTCTTTGAAAGCTGCTTCAGACACATCCTTAGATAGATCTTGATGCAATAAATATTGGTCAAAAATATCTCCATATAAAAAATGTATTTGAGGTTTACTTTCTTTTCTTCACTTTTTACCTCATCAAAGAGGAGTACAATTTTGAATAAGTACATTGTTATAAATCCATGATACTTTTTCATGCAGTTAAAGTGGTCTGAAATGACGGAAAACCATTTGTAATTATTTAATTTTATTTAACCGTTTTTATTATTATAAGGGTTAACATCATCAAGATACAAATATTTACGTGTAGAAACACATGTATTAACAAATAAGAGCACACAGCGAGAGACAGGTCTACAGGAGATGCTTACTCCTCCATGGCACCTGATCCCACCTCTGATGGTTTTAAAGGTCCGAGTTTGCTTTCTTAATTGTATTGTTTAAACGATTTTTGAGCATGATTACTGTTTGTCATAATCATATTTCATACCATAATGGATTGTGGGTATCTTAAATTTAAAAAATGGCCTTAATACAGTTTTGATCGAAATATTTCCCTATTAATGACGGAATAAGTATTAAAGGAACATGGACACAGTTTCAGCTAAAAAAAAAATAAATTTATTTTTCCATTTTTACAAATATTTAACAAAGGTCTTTCTAATGTTCATCAAAAAGTTTGAACTTCACTTGTCTAGATACAAGACAGATTTAAAGCTTCAAACCTTTGTTATGTAAACATGGTTTGTGACATGTTTTCGTTTACATATGTTAATATACTAATATACAATATACATTGACATATTGTCAATAAAATATGTTCAAAACAAAACTAACATACGTTCGTTCAAAGCAGATAATTAAAAAAAATCATTCTAAATACTATTAGACAGTTTCTAGTGATTTGCTGAATTTCATTTTGTTATAAATATGATATTTTCTACATGTAAACGTAAACAAGACACAGGCCTTGTTTACATTATGAAGAATTTTAAGTTCTGTATCTCGTTTGTTACTCTACAAATGATGTTCAAATATTTGCTGATCATTAGATAATGTCTTAGTTAGGAATTGTTATCAATAAAATTGGTTTGAATAATTCAGTTTAAACTGTGCCCATGTCCCTTAAAAATTATTTATTGTAAAAGTAATATTAAATGAGTTGAAAAAATAATTGATTACAAATAATTTATTAATTTGAAAAAAAGAAATGAATTAAAATTTAATTCAATTTTATTTTTTTTCAATTAACCCATTCCATTAAATGCATAACGTCTTATAATGCCAGAATATGCAGAATGGATGCGATTATATGTAACTGAGTATTGAACTATAGATAACATTTCAAAGAGATCTAATTAATCGCAGTGTGGAAACAATTTTAGTTTTATAATGACTAAATAAATAACAAGGAATTTTACGAAAAAGAGAAACGCCAATCCCATACAATGCAGACATTGGAATTGCACCTGCCTTTTTATGAAATCAAATTGAAAAATTAATGAACATTTCACAACTTTTAATATCGAAATTCTCCAACAGTGAAGAAGATTTTTATATCAAATATAGACCATTTTAAGTCAATTTCTTGGAAACGATAAGCCTAAGATAAGAATCGTGTACGTACGTTTGTTCTCTCTAGGGGCATTTTGTCTGCATCTGTTTGGAAAAAAAACAAATATAATGTCTGTAAAAAGAAGCGTGTTTACGTACTTTTGTTTTTGTTTTATCTGACATTCACTATCCACAATAAACTTTAGATTTGTAAGAATCTGTAAAAAAAAAAATATTTTTTTCTTGAAAGTAAAACTTATGTAACTGAACAATATTTGGTAGCTGTACTAATAAAAGACATTGTTGGCAAACTAACAACTAAACTTCAAGATAAACATAATTATGTCAAAATT